AAGAATCTCATCAGCACATTGATTGCCAATGTTTTGAGAACATCTACGCCAAAAAAAAATTTAATTTGTATTCAACATGAATGCTGATAAATACTGATTAATCTTATAAGGAATAAAGAAGAAAACACTATGAAATGTTGATGAATGAATCGACGAAAATGGGAAGAAAAATTTCCATTGAGAGTGCCTGATTGTTCAGGCAAAAAAGCACTGTTAATGAAGAATCAAATGATTTACTAAACAGCAGGGATGAGAGACTAGTCCAATCTAGAGCTTCAATACTATACCAAATGAAAGAAGCGACTAGCACTGTCTTAGTAAGGTGGAATCATTTAACACATCTAAGATTCCAAATTATTTGACAAAAGATTGGATCTCTGTAACTCTTTATTACACAACTGCTACTGCTCATCTCCCACTGTCAAACTTGACTCTGCTAGACAACCACACAAATAAATCTTTAAGCTATAAATTTCACTTCTTAATTTCTTCATCCACAATTGAATACGATTTCGATTAATTAATATTAATTGATATTCTGAGTAGCTTGAAACAGCATCAAACCAGTAAGTTTCATTAATTTATCTATATAGGGACTGATTAATGATTTTATGTATCATGTATAAATCATTGTTATATTTATGACATATTTTCCTTTATGTATCCATAATACGTCATAATGATCTATTAAAAGCATTTAGAAGTTATTCAAATGAAAACATTTTATGTATGCACTTGTTTGTCACCCATATGATACTTTATTAATAATAATAAACAATATAGCTTGTATGGCTTTTCAATCAATTACTGTAGAATAATTTTTAAATATGAATGTATGTATTGAGATGATGACTATGGGAATTATTTTACATGCTGTTATGCAATGACGTAAACAATTTCCCTCCACTGCTCCACATTTCATCTTAAATGAATTGCATTTTTAAAAATATGCTCATATTATTTATTTGCTTACTTTTCTATCGTCTAGTGGAGATGACGATGATTAAAAAATGTGATTTACTGAAAAATACTCTCAGCAAATATAGATGTGGCTTATGCTCCTTTTCCTCTTCATCCCTTTTAGATGTTGGCTCTATATTTTGCTTTGATTGTGTATTTCAACTTGATTTTTGTTGACTTGTTGAATTTGTGTGATGGTTTGACATTGATATGGACCCTTAAGTACTTAGTTATTGTATAGCTGTTTGTGTAGAGTTGTTAGGTCATCTGAAAAATTTTAGAAATTATTTTTTTTGCAATGGCATCAATCTTGTAGATGTTGCGGTATTATTGGCCATGAGCACACCTTTATAGAATACGAACCTGCATTCTGTTGATTGTTGATGATTATCTGAATCAAAATAGCGTCCAAATATTTCAATGCATGAAAATCAAAATAACTACAAACCTACATTCTGCAGTAATTTGATCTTAACCTTCAAAGTGTACCTGTGATGAACATTGTCTAACCTAGTCTTTTGCAATACGTTCTGGTTGTGCTTTCTCTGTCTCGACAAAATCCTGGGAGGTCTCGGTCTCGATCTCGATTTTGCTATCGGAAAAGCATTGTACTGGTTTATTATTTATTAGAGACCCCCCCCCCCCCCTCCCTCCTCCTTCCAACCAGTTTTTGTTCAATAAGACTCCAAATTTTTACTCCTTTAAAAATATTCAATAAAAAACCCACTGGGCTGTATGCTCTACAATAAAATCCTGATGTGAGTATCATTTCCAAATAAAAAGGTACATATATTAAACCCAATATCTGAAAAGTCGATTTACAGAAATAATAAAAAAGTTGTTGAAATGATATTGGTATTATATTCTCAAGATATCTTTTTACAAAACTTCACTTATACTACTTCCTTTTCATACTATACCATTCAAGTGACAAAAACTTTTATTCATAAAATCTTTCCTTCCATCAGTTTCCAATATCCAACATTCTGGCACCCTTTTGCTTGAGAAAAAAAGTCAAAATCCAAATTTTATTATATTTTATATTTTTTTCTCTGTTCTGTCTTCTTCTTGACCCATTTTCAGTTCTTTTTCCATCTCAACGCTTACAATATTGTTTTCGTTTTCACATAATCGCTGCATCTTCTACTGTTTGCCCTTCTTTTATCTCTTTTGATCTAATGCATGCATAGAATTTTTGAGATAAAGTCGTTCATATCAGATTGTATTTCTCATTTATGAAGGGGTGTCCATATGAGTTGGAGTATGAAAAGGATATTGGGAATTTTTGATGAGATTCCATTGTGAATTCTTGATTAATAAAATGGATGGTAAAGTTATCGCTTATAGAGAGTTTATCAAGAGTTTATATATTTGTTCCGCATAACGTAAGTCATAGTGTTTCTCGAACTTTTTAGGACAGGTTGTAATAAATCTTCTGTTTCTCTTACTGCATCTCACTAGCAACTACTATTGATACACTAAGGATTTTCTCGTGGAACATAGTTTGAGAAACACTGAATTTAAGTTCCCTGTCCTCATTTATTCTTTTGATCATCAAAAATGCTTAAAAAAATATAAAAGTTAATTTCAGAAATTTTTATTCAGATTCTTCAACCATATTTTTGCTATACCATGAATATGCTTTGTAACATGTAACTTGAGTGGTTCACTTTAGAATCTTAATTTTGTAAGATTGTTGAACTTGATATCATGAGCTTTTGAATCTCAATTATTTAATTTAAGCATTCAAAAAGCACCAAATTAACATTCATAACTGTATAAACACTCACCTCTGGCACTCACTATCAAATTTATTTTGCACATTTAAGGGCCGTTCACTCATGACGTCCAGGGGGGGGTGGGGTCAGCAAGAAAAGAACAATAGAAATTCCTGGAAATCCATTGTTATTTTATGAAAAATGACCGTTAAATTCGGACGTCATAAGTGAACGACCCTTTAAGAATTTGAAAACTTAAGTAAAACCCCAATTTCACATTAACATTGCCTCTCGGGCTTATTTCTTAACATTCATAAACAGCACAAAAAAATCTTTTGAAGATAAAATGAGAATTATTCAAGGACCCCTCCTAGCAATCTCATTGTTAAACTGAATAGTGAAATAAAAAAAATATATTTTTTTGTGTGTATGTAAATACAAAGTACGAAGCATGTATTGTACTTATCATTTTCATCCTCAATACAACAATCTCATCTATTCATTACGATAAAGCAAGAAAAGCAACATTCAGTTTCATTGAAAAGGAAGAGAAAAAAAGCCACTTTACGATGAAAAACTGTGCATTAATTTTTCTCTTTCTCATCCAATTTCACCGCCTCAGAAACACGACAAAAAAGAGAGAGTCATAAAAAAATATATTTTTTCCCTTAGCCTTTCCAATTTCACATACTATATCAAAAATCATTTGAGCAATCTACTGAGAATGATTCGCCGAAAAAAAATAACATACAACACACAAACTCTGCTGTATATTTTTCTTTCCCTTCTCGCTCACAAATATTTTGTTTTTTTATTCATGAACTGAGTAGAATTTTTGTGTTTTCAGTAGTCTGCCGATGCTGCGTGCGTTTGGATGTGAAAATTCACATTTTCATAGTTTTTTTTTCGTGTGTCTCGCACATTTTTCTCTCGGAAAATTTTTCTTCCATCTGTAAATGAGTTTTATGGTTAGATAACAAAGTTATTGGAATTAGGGTATCATATGTCCACCCGTAAATCACTAGTGTTGAAAGTTGGCATAAAGAAGTGTAATTAATATACGGCATTTGCACATATGTGAGCTGAAGTTGGTTGGTTGAGTAGTGATTTAGGGATTTGATGCTAAATTATTGCAACAACGATATAGATATCATGGGTTCGAAACTCAATATTGACATTTTTGAACTATAATTTTAAGAAACAAAGTTTATAAAAACCTCTTTTCGAGGTTTAATGTAGAAATGTCAATAAAAGATAGGCTCGAATCCCATTATGATCAAATATTTATCTAGTGTTGAACTTTGTGATTATTGCAAATTTTTAAACCTGGTTTGTTTGGTTCAAGAAAATTACCAAAATCTAGAATTGAACTTGAAATTTCTTATATTATCAAGCAGAAGTCCTAGACCTTTGCTGATTAGTAGACACCTATTAGAGGTCATATCCGAATATTGGTATAAAAGCTTGCAATCATAAACCGTAAGTTCGAATCACTAAGCATCAAAACCTTAAAATTAATTTTTTTCTCTACAAATCACAAATCAACTAGTTGCATATAGTAATCCCTCAAATGCTCTTACAAAAAAGTTATCAAGAGAGAAAATAATTATGACACAAAAAAAAGTTTTAGTTAAGAAAGAGGAAAAAGTTTATCGTCTCATATAATCAGTTATAAACAAGCACATTATAATTATTGTTGTTTGAGTGTTAATCAATTGACTCTGATAAGTGATTTAAGCACCAATATTTCTTTGCTTTTATTGTGGAAAAATAAGTGTGAATTTTTTTTTTGTATGTCTTAAAAACAAGTGAAAAATTCTCTCTAAAAAATCTGAATATCTATTTTCGGAAACTTTTTTTTTCTCATCATCATCATCATCCGTGTGCTATTAAGACACATTTTTACTTTTTGTTTAATAAGTACTATGAGAATTTCTCCTCAATTTTAGTGAGCGAAAAAAAAGTTCTCATAAAATTATATTATTTTTTATTTATTCAACGCGCATTCGATATTTTTGTGACAGCAGGTTCTGTTGACTTTTTTAATTTCAAAATTGAGTTGAAAGAAAGTTTTTTTTAAAAAAAAATTAAAGAATATAGAGAGAATTTATTGTGTGGAAGTTAAAGCACTACACAGTTTAGCAGCAATAAACCGTAAATAATAAAGTGAATTCATTGTGTGCATGCAAAGAGCACTTGTTGCTGCACAAAAAAAAATAAAACAATATAAAATTGAGTGACAAACTGCAATGAATTATTGAACGTAGACAAAGTAGACACAAGGGCGTAATTTTACTGAATTGAATTGAAAAATTTAGAATAATGGGGCTTTTCAAGCGACTTGGATTCTCCGGGCGTGCCTCCACGTCCAATGATGATGTCCCACCACAACAAACGCAACGAAAAAAATCAATAATATCTCTTATTCCTTTAAGTGAAGTGACGGAGGCATCGTTAAAGGTTTTTCGACAACTTCCAGGCAAGTATCTACACCAAATATAAAAGTTATGAAAAAATATTTTTAAATTGAGAAATTTCAAATTAATGGAAATCATAAATTTAAAAAATCCTTAAAAAATTAAACCTTAAAAATATTCGAATAAAGAAAAAAAAATATTTTAATTAATGATTTTATTTATTTCCTCATGCGATAGCTACAATCCGTCATGACCCCTCGATGGTTTCCTTCCAGCAAGAAAATGAACGATGGAAAGGTGATTAACAAAAAAATCTATATTATTTCTCATTTTTATGTCTTCATTGTTATACTTTTTACTCCCCTGACTCACATTCCTGTACTCGGTTTAAACATTAAATTTTCATTTAAAATAATCTAGTACAAATTATGTAGCTTTAAGTTTTTCCTGCTGTGTTGTAAACTAATAAAGAAATTGACTTTAAAAGTTAAAAAATTGAAAAAATGCATAGGAAATCACCAAATAAGAGCACCACACCATGTTAAGAAACTTGATACCAATAAAAGCATTGCTTTTAAATGAAAAAAAAAAAACCACTCAGATTTGCCACCTTCCCTCCATCCACTTAATGTATTAAAAATCACATAGCTTCAGCAACATTAAAGCTTAACATCAGCTCTCGTTTTTATTGCGATAGAATCGATATGCGAAAGATAACATATGGATGATGTCTGATTTCCATTTTATTGTATTTCCGATAACATACAGACTGAATCCACTTCAATAATCCAGACATTCACTTGAGATTCACACAAAAGCTCTCGACATTTTTATTCAGTATTATTAAATTGTATCACTTGGAAAACTTCTAAAGAGATCTCAAACTAGTCATTCTTTGCTGACCTGAAGTTTGACTTATAAGGGTGATGTTTGATGTAGAATTTTATGATGCTTCTTTTCAGTTCTTACGTAAAAAGTTTATTTTCAAATTAAAGAATTCAATCTGAAAGTTGCTAAAGAATTTCGAAGTTAATTAAGTTTCTAAAACTGCCTCAAGTCAATGCAATTAAATTTCAGAATTCTTAAGAATGTTTTGCTTATTAAATTGTCCTGCTTCAAAAAGTTTTAGAGTCAATGTCAAATTTAACGTAGAATAAGACATTACATGCATTAATAAATAAAAGCTTTAAATGCTTGAGAAACTTTTGAGGTAAAAACCGAAATAAAAATGTTGAAGAAGACAAAAAAAAAATGCTGAGGTTTTGTGTAGATTTATTTTGAGGTTAATAAGGATTTTTGTCATGGTGATAGTTAAAAAATTAAATTTATTTAAAGTCCTTAAATTTTTCAATCTGTTTTATTCTATAATCTTGCTCAAATCGAGATTCCCCAGCATCAATATTCTTTGGCGATATTCAAAATAGTCTCCAGCACTCTCTACAGGTGTATCCAAAAGCTTTTTCCAAATTGAAAAACTAAGAAACACTTATGGAATTTTACTTCAAAAACTCAACCTCATTTACCTTATTTTTCCAACTTTCAATCATCAACACTCAGAAAATTAAACCAGGAAGTGAAAAATAATCGAAAAGGCAATTTTCGCAAAAAAAAATAATGTCAATATTTTCTCGACTTAAAACTTAATACATGCCAAATCTCTAAGACATTCAATGTGATATTTTATGGCTTAAATTGCAATTTTTTCCTCATATTCTTTGATAGTAATCCACACATTGTATTATGCTACCAAACATACAAAAGCAAAGCGACGGAAATTAAGTAATGTCGTAAATAAAGATTCCTTACATAATATGAGAGTATCTTCCTTATCCCTAGTTTTATTTTTATACTTTCATTCTTATCGATTATACGATGTCATAAAATCATGATCCCTTTTGATATTCTAGAATTTGTTGCCATTTTTTTTTTATTCCTACATTATTACTTTTGTTATTTTTCATGCTTTCTTATGTCTATAAATAAAAAAAAAACTTCTGCAAAAAATTGTTCTCATAAAAATTCAGCTGAGCATGGCGATGTGTATGTCGATGGAGCACGCAATAGTGCAGAACCAGTAGAGCCTCGTCGTATTGTTACTAAAAAGGCAGATGATGTTGATAAAATTGAAGATTTAGAAGATTCTGACTCGGATAATGGAGAATTCATAACAATTAAAGTGACCAATAGTGAAGGCAAAACGGAATCTCAGGAAGTTGATCACATTAAAGAGCACTTCAAGCCTAAGTATTATTGACAATTATTTTATTTTTCTGTGCATGTCAATAAGGATATTTTCAAAAATTTAGAGAAGAACCAAAAGAAGTCAAAGATGCCAAAGATCGTATCCATTTTCAACCAGCAGCTCCAAGACAAGATACTCCACCAAAGGATCAAGAACAACACGAAGACGCTCAACATCCGTTCCATAAATATGGCAAGACAGGCTTATTGATTGTCGTATGGTTATTAATGGTCTTCTTTTTGACACGAACGCCTGAAAAGAAAATTGAGAAAAGGCAACTATCGATTCCAATTGACGATGCAAGAATTTACAATTTCCCAGTTATGCCGAGTGGATCAAGGATAAATGTGACACTTGAAGGAGCATTTCTGCCGGAAGTACTTGAACAGCATCAAAGGCGACAAACTTTAATGACTCGAAGGAAGAACAGCGGGGATGTTATTGAGAAAGAAAAGGAAAAAGATAATTATTTGAGAATTTATTTGCGTACAACCATTAAGCATCGACAATTGACACAGCATAGGATATATGCCATACAGAATCCATCTGATTTTGATTATTCAAATTCAACTCGATTACCGATAATGTTCGATATTGGTGAGGATAATTTAGATTTATTGGAAGAAGATCAGGAACAAATTCAGCTTGTAATCGAAAGTAATTTTACAAAGACACCACTGGAAATGAAACAAGAAATGCCGTTAATATTCAGTTACGATATTAATCCAATTAATAAACAAATTGGAGTAATTTTTGCCGCATTCGTTCTCATATTTCTCTACGCATTAATTATTTGGGAAGTAAGTATGCTTATGGTTTTTGTTTGCTTTATTGTTCCCATAAATGCTAGTCATTTGTCAAACTTTTCTGTTTCGCATGTGGACTGTACACACAAATTAACATGTGCCATTGTAAAACACAAAAGAGTTATCAATCAATTAAAACAATTAAAAGAAATTAGCTATAAAGATACATTCTATGTTGTGTATGTATAATTTGTAAGGTCTAGGAAGCTTTATCAAGAATTTTGAATCAAAAGTAATTTATGAAAGGGTTTTGAAAATAAATAGAACACATGAAGAACCAAACTCATTAAAATTCAAAACTTTTTCCTGAAAGTTCATGCACGATTGGGTGGAAAATCAAAAATAATTGCTACAAGAACTCATAAATTAAAGAAAATTCTTTCACACACGTATGAGTAATATTTTTTCAGGCAAAATCGAATGTTGATTGATTTTTTTGAGATTTTGAAATAAGACAACATTGGAGCTTCTTTTCCTTTGCTGAAACTCTGGGAACGGTGTATATAATTGTTTATTTAACATGGATGTATAGAAAGAAGTGGACTATAGTAAATTTATTAATAGTTGCATATTCCATATAGCAGAGGCGTAAGGCTGAAAAATCAATAATTTATAAAAATTTAAAGAGCACCATAAATGCTAGGTTTCCAACATCAATACTGATTGATACTAATCAATTTGATCTAACACACCCAAATAGTCAGATAACAACACTGTCTATAACTTTAAGTATTCACAATCAAATTGTCAAAGCAAAATATTCCAGATCTCATCAAAAATAACGACCTTCTCCAAGTATATTCCCCAAATAAATATATAAATTTTCCAAAAGCAAGCAGAAAAGCGATATAATCTTTACGACAAACAATTAAAAGCCTCCCAGTTCTACCCACAGAAAAGCTAACAAATTTCTATCTTTATGACAAATAATGTAAACATTATTACTACATAATGAATTTAGCAGAGAAATTAAGTAAATGAAAATTCCTTCTATTCAGGTTGTTCATAGGACATTTGCAGCAATGATAGCTAGTACATTATCAATTGCTCTTCTTGCCGCACTCAATGATCGTCCTACACATCAGGAAATAATCGGATGGATTGACGTTGAGACGATATTACTTTTATTCTCCATGATGATACTTGTTGCCATTCTAACCGAAACAGGTGTTTTTGATCATCTTGCAGTTTATGCATACAAGGTAGATTTATCTTATATTCTTTTTATGACATGTCAAACATAATCCTAACAGATGAATATCCAACCATAAAAATAAATTTCATGTTTAGATAACAAATGGAAAGATTTGGCCATTAATTCATTGCTTATGTATCATAACATGTCTAATTTCGATGCTGTTGGACAATGTCACAACTGTTTTGTTAATGGCACCAATAACAATCACATTGTGTGAGGATTTGGACTTAAATCCCGTGCCAGTTTTGATGGCAATTGTCGTTCATGCAAATATTGGAGGTACAACGACACCTGTTGGTGACCCACCGAATATTATAGTAAGGATTTCGATATTGTGTCAATTATTTGAGCAAATAATTAATTTTAATATTTTTCTCTTCTTTTGTTTAACCTTACAGAGTAAGTAAACAGCTAGTCACATTAACATTGTCAAAAACAATAATTATTAAATTTTATTTCTCATTTTACAGTGTGAGTAAACATCATCAAACATTAAACTTCCGAATATTAAGTGACATTAATTAATGAAATCTTGTGTTAATGATATTTCTTTCTCTTTTTTTCGACTTTAGTGTATGTATAAAAAGAACTATAAGCTGGATGGATAAGTATTGCATGATAATCAGTTTTGTGATAATGTGATAAGTCCTGGAACCTTCAATTTTCATTGGGGATTGTACATAAATTAGGTCAATCAAAATCTTGGATTTTTTACCTACTCAACATTAAGACCTTACAAGAGTTGTAAATTCTATTACCTCATTCCTGGTAGATTTTTCGCTTTGTTTAGAGCAACTTATGAACTAAAACTAAACTTTGATGGCCTTTTGATAGTAGTTGCTCGTACTTTAATCGATTATCTATCAATATTTTATCAGTTCATAATTCCAAAGTGTAATTCGTTTGTGTATTCACATCTATCAGTCTGTGAATTATTTTCTTATCTCATTATCGATTATTTGATAATTTTCGGCATTGAACTTTTTGACTTGAATAAGTAAAGGTCGCAAATGGGAATTTGATGTTATTGTTACTTGTTGCCACTTGTAGCAGATGTAACTTTGTTTGATAGTTATCGAAATTATTGTTGGATAGATGTTAAAAGGTTGTTCACAGAGGACATCTAAAATTTGGGAAGTTAATGATACTCTTAATGACGATTTTGGTTATTCCTATGCAAGGCGATATATTTTATAGTATTTACTTAATTAAATTTACCTAAAAGAGAAGTATAGCTAAGGAGTTCGTTATAAAATTTAATATTAGGGTCGATTAAAGCTATTCAATATAAGCATCAATGAAACTGAAACGGACCTACACATTTCTCACACAAAACGAATATCTCATGCCATTTCTTATTATCACAAAAACGACATATTTCATTTTAATACAAGAAAGTTATTATTTTTTCTTCTTCGAATGTAGACATCGAATCCAACCATCCTTGAAAGTGTAAGTTTATTTTCATTTCTTTACTACTATAAAGCTATATTTTTTTCCATTCTTCACAATAATAAATAAACACACAACAAATTATTCATTCCTCAACGTAATCTAGGGTGTAACGTTTATAAGCTTCACTCTCCACATGCTGATCGGCGTCATTATTCTTACCATCACGACAAATCTTCATCTTCGTCTCAATTATAAAGATATTAATACATTATTTATTCACGAACCGAAGGAAATAAAAGTTTTAAAACGTAATATTGTCGTTTGGGAGCGTACGGCTGCATCAATATCGCCATTCTCAAAGGACGCAAATATGGTTCGAGAGACCCTCATTAAGAAGGTTAAAATTCTAAAGCATGAGTTGAAGAAGAAAATGGCAAAAGGTGGAATAGGTGTGGCAAGATATAAATCAACCTTGGAGGATATGGAGAAGGCATATCCACTCAGAAAGAAAGGTTTATTAATTAAGTCTGGTGTCGCATTGGCCTTCATCATAGTACTTTTTATGGTTGAGTCGTTCCCACAAATCCATCGATTATCTCTTGGATGGTCAGCACTACTTGGAGTTACTCTTCTTCTTATTATAAGTAATCGTGATGATATGGACGCCATTTTACATCGTGTGGAATTCTCAACACTATTATTCTTTGCCGCAATGTTTGTTCTTATGGAAGCTGTAGAGCGTATGGGATTTATTACGTGGATTGGATCTGGATGTGAAGATATTATCAAATCCGTATCTAAAGAATATCGTTTAGCTGTAGCTATTATTATCATTTTGTGGGTTTCTGCAATAACATCAGCTTTCGTTGATTCCATACCCGTAACTCAAATGATGGTAAAAATTGTAATCTCGTTGGCAGCGAGAATAAATCTACCATTGCAACCACTCGTGTGGGCTTTAGCCTTTGGTCCGTCTTTAGGTGGAAATGGAACTGTTGTTGGAGCTTCGGCAAACGTTATATGTGCTGGTATAGCTGAACAGCATGGATACAAAATGAATTTCATGGAATTTTTCAAGTAAATATGTTTTTGAGGATTTGCGGTGATTTATGAAAATATCGTGTTGGGGCTTCATATTCAGTATGATGTTTCCTTCTTATTCTTTCTATATAGAGGATATTCTCGTATTTTTCTGATTAATGCCTGTCGGTATTTTCTCAAGAAAAAAATCGATAAGTAAAATATTTTCATGGGGAGAAAGAGTCGGTAATATTTTATGCTCAAATATCCTTTCTTTCCGAGTAGTTTTTTTTTCATTAAATTGATAATACAATAGGAAAAATACATTTAATAAGGGAGGGTTGAAATGTGCCTGTTGTTCAATATCTTGGTTGAATAGTTTTCTTCTATTTTATTCTCTAGACAAGTCAACAATAGATTTTCTAGAAAAAAACTTATTAAAGTATTAAATTATAGCAAGATTGGATATTTAATTTGGAAATAGAAGTTTCTTCAATGCTAAATAGGTACAAAATACATTGGATAATAAGCTTTTTTAAAACGTTCCTTGAAATATTGTCTTTAAAATCTGATGTTGTTATCTTTGGACATGATAAATTTGAAAATTATTTTTAACCTGACTTTAGGGATGCTACCCCACAGAGGAGGTTGGTTAAAGATTTAAAATCTATCGTCTATCGAGTGGCTTGCTTCACGATTTCAAAAAAGAAGCTAAGCAAAATTAAACTTACTAACTTCGAAGTAGCTTCAGAATAAGAAATAAGCTTCTCAAAAAGAGCACTGTTATAACTAAAACTAGGAAGTTGAAAGGTCTATTTAACACCTTTTATAGCTACCATATACAATCTTTATAAAAAACTCCAAAAAATAAAGCAAGATATTTAGTTTAATGCTGCATCAACTTTCGAATATTCAAAAATTTCTTCAAAAAGCTAATCGACGATATATTTCCTATTAGATTGGCAAAACCCAACACAATCATTCATAAATCATAGCATTTTTTCATCTCTTTTGTACACTCCACAGAGTCATTTTTCTTATTTTTTCTTTTCTTTTCTTCTTTATTCATCCCCAACAGATTCGGTTTTCCATTAATGATTGGAAGCATTGTCATAACGACAGGATATCTACTATTTGCTCATTGTTTATTTACTTGGCATTAAATAAAATACTAAGATACTAAGATATATATAGAACAGTTTTTGGATATGAATCATAATTCTATTTTTGACGATTAGATCAATCTACATACTTAAATATTTTTTATCAAAGATTTATCTGACTTTATTTTGGTATCTGCAATGAAATTGCAATAAATATTGAATTATTGTACTGTGTGTTTGAAGAAAAAGAAATGTAAATAAAGAAAATGGAACTTTATAGAACAATAAAATCAAATAAAAAGAACAAAAAAAATTGTTTGGAATTTTTATGGCTTTCAAAATCAGATGGTTGTATCTCAATGTTGATAATGCTCATAGTTCTCATAACATTTTATTGTATGATTATGTACAGTAGCCTTTAGATATAAACATTTTTTGCATGTCATTATACGTAAACAATTCATTTATCATAGCCTTCATTACCTTTAGCTTAGGAAATTTATCATAATGTTGCTACTCTATTCGATTGCTTTAGTGCATTTATGTATACAAAGTTATGAGCAGGGGTGTAGCTGTGGGGAGAAGAGGAACCAATGGGGTATGACCTCAAAAATAAACGAATGTACAAAAACTACAATCGACTAAGATTTTATTTACACTTCTCCCTCTTCCTCTGCTTACATCGCTGACTCTCCTAAATTCACTGCTAGTTTTTGTGCTAATGAAATTTTAATTATTCAATGTGTTCTTTGCATGAATCTACTTCTCAGACTAGTAATATTTTAATATTTATTATGTCAAAAGCAGACTCTAAAATTCTTCTTCAGCACATCACACAAACACATTTCCAAAATTATGTAACTTTCTCCTGAAGCTATTATTTGACTATGCTAGCAGAACTTGAGAATATTTTTTTTTTATTTTATACTAAAAAATTTGTTCAATTTGTTTTAAGGAACATGTGAGGGTGGAAGCACGAAACTGAAAATTTACATTTATTCTAGTCGCTAGAAGGAGAACAACTTGTTACATTTTATTCCTTTTATTTTTTAAACACGTGTTCATTATTTGTGTGTTTTACGGTGAATTGCTTGCTTAAGAAATGCAATAAAGCATCACTGCAGGGGTTTGATATCACATGTATTTATTTTTCGGATGGAATTGAAAAATTATAAATACTTAAATTTACCGATAAAAGTCAAACAATAGCCTTAGATTTTAAAACACCTTTGAAATCTTTAGCGAGGCTTTTAGGGAACTTAGGTCAGTAAGTGTTCATTGAATACTAAAATCTAACGAAGTTTAGTTCCATACAAGGTTTCGGGACTGATCAGTTCCGCATCCTTGGTTTCATGACGTCAAATCCCCAATTTTCAATCTTCCAACTTCAATTATTTTGAACAAGAAGTTCATCGATGATTCAACAGATGATTTAAAGCAGCATTTAATTCAATAATGTACATTGAAGGCATATAATGTGGCAACACGTGCTGAACAAAATAAATAAATTGACAATCCTCATTGAATCTATTTTTATGACTTTTTAAATCGATATTTTGAAATTTAGTGCAGTTTTGAAATAGCTCACGTATTTAATGTCATACTAGAAGCTATAAAGTAAATATTTAGTCAACTATTTAGATAAAATTAAGCATTAATCATAAGTCTATGCTGAAGATTAGTAATATTTTGGATAATATCCTAACCGACAATAAGAAAAACATCATAACGACTAAATAAACAGTTCAGGTCATTAATCAAAGTCATAATATTCATTGAGTGGTCGTAGATTAAGCAGTAACAGGTTCTTATAAGTTTCATGTCTTACATCAACTTAATTACACGACTTGGGTTAGGATACGTCATTTGACTGAAAATTTGTCACCAGTCCGAATAACACAAGTTGGTTCGATTTTTTTTCGATTTAAGTCTTTTCAATAAACCAACTTGTGCAATTCGGGTAGCATACAGTCACAAAATCAATATGAACTCGAGAATTAATTCCAAGATGCTCTCAACTTTAAATCTTTAAACAATATTTTCACTCTACACATCTGCAAAAACTTCAACAAGTTCCACATGGAGACAATCGCAAGTGTGTTATCAGAGATTACTCTCTCGTCTCTTTATGTTTAATATGTTGAACTGTGCCAATTTACAAAAAAAAAAAAAAAACAATAAAATTCCTACTTTCACCAGTTGAATTTGGTGATGATTTTTTTGTGGGATTTATAAAAACTGATGAATAATGGTTTGTTTATATTTGTTAAGCAAGAAAGATGTATAGTTGGGGAATCAGTTATTTGTTTTGGAAGAATTTAATGTTGAGTTTCTTTAATTGCTTTATTCTCAATGCTTAGTTTTAATCTAAACTCGAAATGAACCTCACTGGCTAAGCTTACATATGTATATGAATAAGATGAACTAAAGTGATAATATTATCCAAATATTTATAACAAAAACCTAATTTAAATCTGTTTGTTCACCCAATTTAAATATGAGCACATCATCTACTTTATTCATATGCTGTCAATAAATGCATCAATATGACACAACTACAGAAATCGTTGACATTCCCATTCTGCATAAATATCAATTATTGATGACACATTCAAATTCAATAAAAATTGACTGACAAATTTCACATTTTATGTCCCCTAAAACAATTTAAAAAAAACTTTTATTAACTGTGCAGACATTCAGGATATAAAAAACATTTAAAGAAAATTATTTATTAATGTAAAAAATCAATAAAAAAATTTATTAATAGCTTACGAAGTATCTAGCAGAAAAAAAATTAAGGATACATTTAAGTCAACTTGTTCATCCACACTGAACGAATGCATGCAGCACAATTGAAAAATATAATTCTGAGCGAGAAATTTCATGTTAAATATCTGAATAAAAATATTTTCTTCTTCCATCTTTTTTAAAATACAAAAAAAAATAATTTTTTTGGAGAGCAACGCCGTGAGAGAAAGATACAGATGCTTAGCTGTACACTTTCAAGCATACAAGGCGCTAAAGTATTTCAGTGAGATTGTTTTTGATTCCTAGAGTGATTTCGTCTTCAAGTCTTTTCAGTCTTTTGACTGAGATCAGTTCGAATGAAGCTAGACTCTAAAAATTTTCGGAAAAAGTTTTTTGGGGCATTCTTGTGCGTGGGTGAAAGAATCAACAGTTTTATTATCATCAATTAAGTTCAGTGGCAAAGAAATTGCAAAATATTATGTACGCACGTGAACTAGATGTGCGACTAGTGCTTATAAGAGTTAATTGACATTTCCTCAATCGTGAAATTCTCACAAAAAAGTAATTTAATTTGGGATTCATGCCAACAAAAAATAATTCACAATTTTTTTTAATCGACGCCGACAACACAGAAAAAAAATTATTTTTCAATACTTTGTTGTAAATGTAAATTTATTGTAAACGACCTTCAACAATAAACCAAACGCTTGGAGTGAACTTTTTTCGCATTTCATTCTTTCGGTTTACAACGAACATAAAAAAAGAAAAAAAGCTACCAAGAAGAAATTGCCACATAAAAAAAGTTTTGAAGCTTAATAATTTAAAAAAAAATGTGAAAAAGGGAGAAAAATTGAAAATTATTTTTCTTGATATTTAAATCAGTGTTGTTATTTGACTACTTGTATAGTCTGGACACAGTCCAGTCCATTGCATAGTGTGACGTAACTTACAACAGTTTAGTCAAAATTGTAGATCAATCACGAAATGTATGGCTAGACACTATATGTGGACCAATTAAGTCATTTACTGTGTCGAAGTTCAAGAAGTTTGTAAAGTACTTTTCAGGGCTCTAAACTATAACCAAGAAACTTGATAGCATTTATCCTTTTTACATGCTTTATCCAAAACATAAATCTCAACTGAGACATTTTTCTGGCCAAGATAAAATCAGTCCGAATATTGTCTGAGAGAACCAAAATCTTTATTGATTTATATCCAATGTGTCGAACCCTAAACCAAAGTTTCAACAACACTGATTTACATATTACTAAAAAAATTGAAATAAATTGTTAATAATCAACCTCAATATAGAACATCTTTAACGGTTTGACAAGTGAATACGAGAAATTTATGGGAAAAATGACAAATTTAAAAAAGAAAAACTTTTTCATTTTCCCTATTTTTTCACTTCAATGAGAAAACTCAATTGAAAGAAATTTTAAATATCAAGTAAAAAGTAAATAAAGGAAAAAAAACTTTTTTCATTCCACAAACAAGAGGCACGTAAGAATAAAATTTCATTAAGTGAACACTTTGAAATTTCTATTAAATAAATCAACCGACTTCATTCGAGTAGAAAAATTAGTGAACTGAAATTGAAAGAAAAAAATAAAAACACACCAAAAAAGAATCATGGGACTTTTCAAAAGAAAACAAGCTGACCCCACAACATCGTCTGCACCTCCAACAACAACACACACTGATCATGAAAAAAGAAGTCGAAAAATATCTGTATTAAATTATGTTTTTCCTAAAAGTAGGGTGAGCGAGGCAACGCTGCAAGTCTTCCGTCAGCTCCCAAGTAAGTATCCTCAATGCATTTATGGCAATATGATTTCCCAATTCTTTAATTCTATTTAAAATTTAGCCCAAATCAGACACGACCCCTCAATGATCAATTTTCAAAGAGAAGCGGAGCGATGGAATGGTAAGTTCAATTCTTACTTATGTTTTTTTAAGTTAAAGTTTAGGTTTTGGAGCTAGAAGGGTTTCTTTATTACAATTTATATACTTAACCGAAATGTTTAAAAAACATGTGCAAAATTGCTAAAACAACAATTGCCGACCAAAAAATTTACGATAATTATTTGAATTTTTTTTCAAATTGCAAGTCATCAGACTTAATGATTAAATTGCAAATTCCTTTAAAATTCAAGTACTTAGTAGCATTTGGCGATATTCCATATAATATTGATGTCAAAAATTCTTAAACTTAATACTTTGCTCAATAAACTACGTCAAATCTAATTTCATTGCTACTCCATTTAATTTTTCTATAACATTTAAAATTATTTTAAGTCAATAAATCTGTTATTAGTCTACCAAATGTCGACTAGATGTCTAGATTATATTTAATATTTTGGTGCATGAAAATGCTATTTATAAATCCTTGAATGTTCTTCACACATTTTTCAATGAAATTTCATTTACTGTGAATTTATTTATCGCAGCTGATGCAGGTTGGGGTCATTAACGTGTGAAGTCATACTTTTAGAAAGGTTTAAGCTATTGTGACAATTTAATTTTCATATTTACTCAGTTTTAAGTCAATAAATCTTATTTTTCAATACACATCACTTTCAAATAACCCCCATTCCTTTGAACAACACAAAAGCTCCAATTCTAGTTCACAACAATATTTTTGAACACATCTGCTTTTCGATAAGAGAGGAAAGAAAAAAGCGTAAGGAGATTAAGTGTGAAAGAGAATCTATTTCATACCAATTGGCCTTTTGTGCCTTAATTTGACACATAAATGTTCCATTTTATTCTACAATTTACACAATTTCGATTGTCAACTGACTTAATTTGATTATCATTTCTTACTATTCATTCCGCTCATTTTCAACTCAATAATACCAACTGACATATCTGATGATATTACAGCTGAACACGCAGATTCTTCTTCCATTAAGAGCGTACGCTCGGTGAAATTGTATGATGAAATAGAAATGACAGACAATAAGCCAAAATTGCATGTTAAATATGAAGATGTAAGGCATTCAGAAGATGAGTCTGATGATGGGCAATTTATCACAATTAAAGTGACAAATATGGATAGTCATGGAGCAGACGATGAGGCTGAACGAACCGATTGCTCATTGACAGATATAGATGATCTGAAGCCAAGTCCAACAACACACAAGAAAACTGTATCAATTGCAGACTCACCACCAACATCTTCTGCTGATCATCATGAACATTTCTCAAGTCATCATCCAAAAGTTGAGAGTCCGTTCCATGAGTTTGGAAAAATATTTTTCCTCGTTTTTATTTGGATATTAATGACTTTATTTCTAACGTCAACACCAGAGAAGAAAATCATAAGACGACAACTTGTTGTTCCTGTCGACGAACCTAAATTCTATACACTACCACAACTACCGAACGGCACTCTTATATCAATAACAATTCAAGCACCATTTTTACCAAATCAAAGAGAATTTACGAGTAAATGGAAAAATCGAACTGTCGAAGATCCACGACAAAGAGACAATTCACTTACCATATTTTTACGCACTGATGACGATAAAATCCTCACGCCAAACAAAACATTTTACCTTTATAAGCCCGGCGATATTGATTATGTGAATGCAACAAATATTGAATTTACATTTGACATTACGGAAGATAATCTAGAAGATTTGCATGATGACGACATTATACAGGCAGTGATTGTGAGCAACTTTTCGAAATCATCACAAGACGAGAAGCAGGAAGTTCCAATTATGTTTAGTGTTGACTTTACTCCAATCAATAAGCAAATTGGCGTGCTTTTTGCAACGTTTACGCTTATTCTGCTTTATGTCTCAATCATTTGGGAGGTGAGTTACTTTATGTCTGATTTACAGAGTTGTCTCCTTGTTGACCTTTCTCATCAAATGAATACAATTGTTATCAAATTGATGTCATTGATTTCCTAGTAGGTTAGTTTATTTTAAAAATTCTCACCATGAATGTGATAGCTTTACACGAGAATATCTACCACCCAGGGCTCTGGAAATTTTAGGCAATGTCAAGAGAATTTCGTGATTATTAAAGTATCTCGTGCTTTTTGGATTATTTACTGTAATGTCATGAGCATTGTGCGTAACCCTGTCATATCAGGACTAGAAATTGAATTTACGTTACGGCAGATTCTCTTAAATTTTGCTCGATATCTATATTTTAATCGATATAATCTTTATTAATCTCAGCAAGAAGGTCTCAGTTTAATGCTTACAATACGCAGCCTTAATTAATTCCCATATGGAAGCACTAAAATACCCTTTCAATAATTTAAAATTGGACCATGAAATTCTCATCCACCTTCACTGAAATGAACATTTAAGAGTCCTAGCCGCAATCCTTTTCCAATTTTTAAGGTTATAAAATAATAAAATTGTACGATTTATAACCCGAATTTATTTTATTCATCCTTTCATTTTCATGATTTGATGATTTTCGAAGAAGGTTCGAAATGTAAATTTATTGTTCATTTAAAGAGCTATGAATCTTAAAAGAATAGTCTTAATAGACGTGCTAAAAGTCTTTTAAAAAGATACACAAAGGATGGAATAATCAAAAGCTTCATGAATAATTTAAGTGCCATTTTGTTCTTCCTTTTTTTTGAACAGATTGTCCACAGGACTTTTGCAGCAATGATTGCAAGCACTTTATCACTAGCTTTACTTGCGGCTCTTAATGATAGGCCGACACACGATGAAATTATGGGATGGATTGACGTTGAAACAATTCTCTTGCTATTTGCAATGATGATACTTGTTGGAATACTTACTGAAACAGGTGTATTTGACCATCTTGCGGTCTATGCCTACAGGGTAAATATTTTCATTTAATACAATCCGATTTAGATTATGCTACCTTACAAAAATACCTCGAATACCTTTTTGTTTCGTTTTCACATAACTTTAGGTAACAAATGGACAAATTTGGCCTCTCATCCATTGCCTTTGCATTATAACTTCATTAATATCAATGCTTTTGGATAATGTTACAACTGTTCTTCTGATGGCTCCTATTACAATCACATTATGTGAGGACATGGATCTAAATCCTGTTCCAATTTTAATGGCAATCGTTATACACGCAAATATTGGAGGATGTGCAACACCAATTGGTGATCCACCAAATATTATAGTAAGTGGATGTTAATTTATGTATAAATCAGTATGAAAAGATTTAATTGTCGACATTTTATGATGTTTAATATTTTTGGAACAAAATGATACATTAATGCAATGTAGAGATAATGAGACTGAGTGATGAAATACTGAGTTAGAGGGAAAGAGACATTGAGGCTTCATTTCTAAATCGTTCCCCAATTATTTAACTTTTTCCACCTTTCATGTTCTCTTTGAATTGCTAATTCCTGTTAATGTGTTCCGTTAAGAAATTCATAAATTCCTTCCGTAATTGCTTCAAAGCTAAGTCAAGTTAATTGTTCGTGAGGAAAGGCTCTTAATTTTGATAAATTAGCATAATCACCAAGAAAGCAGGCCATAAAAACTTGCGCTTCTGAACTTTATATTTACGATTTTTTATGTCTGCAACAAAAAATTCTTTTCGTTGCTACTTTTTGACCCTCAAAAATTTTGATTACTTTAATAAAATTTCATTCCTTTCATTTTTTTCGTTTCAGAGTAAGAAATTCTTTTCATGTAAAATGAATAATTCATGTCATAAATTTATTTTTTTTTCTCTCTTCCTTTTCCATCTTTTTTGATGAATATCTGCAGTGTAAGTAACCTCAAAGGAAATTTTTTCAAGAGCATACTTTTTCATAAGTCTTTATTACTCTAATATATCTTTACAGTGTGAGTACATCCATATTCAAGATGACGTGACTAAGTATCAACAAATTAACACAATTAAACTCAATTAACTCTTTTAATTTGTCATATGACTAACTTTAAACTAATTGATATCACTTTGTTATATTCATTTAACCATTTGAGGTTTTTTGGGGTGTTTCTTGGAAGGCTCTCAAAATGATGATGATGAAACTTTTTTTTTATATTTTTCATTATTTAATCATTAAGTTGATTCTTTTCTGGGCAGTTAGATAGAGATGTGGTCTGAGCCATATTTAGTTGATACTTTCTACAGTTTAGTTCGAACCTACTCCTAAGTCTTCCTTGAATAATTTTCGATACATTTCTGGCTGTCTCTTTTGCATCTTCTCATTCTCGATGCTTCGAAAATTAATGAATTTATGATTTTCTTCTGAAGAACTTTTTGGTATAAATCAAGCATGAGAACCATATTTTTAATCGAGGATCCTTTTGAATTATGCAAGAGAATCGCGTGATTTTGTGAATTTTCATAGAATGCAGCGGCTCATTGAGAATATTAATCCAAAGAAGGATTAATTAAAAATTAAAAGAAATTTTTCTTAGAAAATATTGCAATTATAATTTTTACGAAAATGTGTCGAACATTCAGGAACAGTTTCTGACTCAAAAATTCAGAATTTGATTTATTTCAAGTCAATGACTTGCTTAAAATTAAAAACTGGTGTAAAAAAAATTGTTTTAAGCTTCTGAAAATAATCCAGGTGGAAAATATTCCGTGGTAATTAAATACAATTACTGGGAACAAACTTCTTCATGTAATTGGCTTTGTTACTTAAGTTCTTACTCAAATTTCTAGAATATGGACTTTTTTTATTCATTAATAATTTATTCTTATTAGTTTTTGGTGTCCTTGTTCCTCACTCATTCGGTATTATGAGCAATCCTAATCTTATATTCATCAAACTATTCTAAGTACCAAAGCTTCTCTCTTGCTTACAAGGTTAACAAAATCTACACGAAGATCTAGCCTCTATAAATAAAATTCACGAATAAAAAGGATATGCAAAAATGGAACAATGTAAAGTGTAACAAAGTTTTAGACACGAGATTTTCGTAAACGTCGCTTAAACATTCCCCAAAGGAATAACACGACATAAACATCAGCTGTGAACACGAGCAACTAAATCCATAAAGAAGTCATGCTCAAACTTTCTAGAAGAAAATTCTTAAATTTTTAAGACTACCACTCTTTAGCTCCACATGATAAAACTTTTTTCTCGACTATTTTTCATCATTTTGAATAATTTATCATCTTCCAACACTTTTTTCAGACAACAAATCCCGTTTTATTAGGTCAAGTAAGTATGAATAAAATCTCAGCTAAAATATTCCATTACGTGTAATGCATTCACACATGATAAATTTTTCATTAGGGAGTGAATTTCCTGAATTTTACACTTCACATGTTAGTCGGCACCGTTATCATCACAATTACAACAAATATACATCTACGTTTGATATATAATAACGTCAACATCCTATTTATTCATGAGCCAAAGGATGTGAAAGTAAGTTAAGTCGAGGTGTTGGCACTTTGGTAATATTCCAAAACATCTTCAATTGTTCACAATCTTAAATTATATAACCTTTCCAAAGCTCGGTTCTTGATTATCAGAGTCCAGTATTTAACTCTACCTTATGCTGGAATCAGAAATCCATATACTAAGCCTAAAACTTAGTAACAAACAATTTTTATTTGACACTTTGAAAAGCTCTAGAAACCAAACCAGGAATTTTTAAGATTCAAACCTGAACAATTTTAAGAGATCTTCCCAAAATTAATCCCTAAGTGTCAACACCTTGACTAAAAGCGTATAATGCAAGATCATTAACGAGAAATAAATGAATTTATCATCTTCTTTATCGCTGCTTTTACCACGAAAAAAACACATATAAATGATAATATTTATGTACATGACATAGATGCTTAAGAAGAACATTCTGACTTGGGAAAGAGCATTACGCAACTCGATATCACCATTTAGTAAGGATGCAGACTTGGTGAGACAAACGCTCGTGAAGAAAATTAAGGGTCTGCGGCAAGAGCTCAAAAGGAAAATGTCAAAAGGAGTTGTTGAAACGACACGTTACCGCTCAACCCTTGAGGAAATGGAAAAGGCATATCCAATAAGAAAGAAAGGATTGTTAATAAAGTCAGGAATTGCTTTAATATTCATTCTGGTGCTATTTTTTGTTCAGTCAATTCCTGAAATTCATCGACTATCGTTAGGATGGTCAGCACTTATTGGCATTTTATTCCTTTTGATTATCAGCAATCGTGATGATATGGAAGCAATATTACATCGTGTTGAATGGCCAACATTGCTTTTCTTTGCTGCTATGTTTGTTCTAATGGAAGCTGTTGAACGAATGGGATTCATCGCATGGATAGGATCAGGAACTGAGAGTTTAATTAAGGGAGTATCAAAGGATTATCGTCTAGCTGTAGCAATAATAATAATTTTATGGGTATCAGCATTAACATCAGCATTTGTGGAATCATTACCCGTGACACAAATGATGGTCAAAATTGTGATATCATTAGCTGCTAATCCAAAACTTGGATTGCCTTTACAACCCCTCGTATGGGCCATGGCGTTTGGTCCAGCATTAGGTGGCAATGGGACATTAGTTGGAGCATCTGCGAATATTATTTGTGCTGGTATAGCCGAACAGCATGGATATAAAATGACTTTTATGGACTTTTTGAAGTAAGTTTTAAGTTTTAAAAGTTGTAAAGCATTTCCATTATAATGCATTTAAATTTTCTTATCCATTTCCACAGATTTGGCTTTCCAATAATGTTGACAACAGTGCTCTTCACGAACCTATACATATTTTTATTCACATTATAAAGGAATTCCTAAATTATGGCAAACAAATAATTTTAGAAATTAGAGAAATAAAGCAATTTAATAGTTTAATGTCTAGGATTAGGTTTCTATATGGTATGTCAAAAATATTTAGTCGGAAGGTGTCCTTAAATAGAATTTCCTGTTGATAAATTGATGGAAATTGCTTCTGGCAAGCTATTTTCCTGCTGTTTACGACAACATTTTAGCAAACGTTAAGCATTGTCGTGGTAGAATTTCAGCCTTTGTTTAAATAATAAAAATAAAACTTTCATATTTTAACATAAATTTAAACAAGAAAATTTTGTAACTCGAGGGCAGCCAAGAACGAGGAAATTTGATAATATCAAAAGGAAAATAACAGAATAAAGTGACGCGACAAGAACTTGATGGATGGATTTTACGACAAAAAAAAACACAATAAAATAAAATTGACAGGAAAAATTTTTACATTTGAAAATAAATTCAGTGGAAATTTTTATGTAGCATTGACTGAGATTTGTCCTTAGTTCTCATGAAAAATTTATAAGGCCTTCTTATTAAGCATATGATGAATAACCGGCGGACCAAAATGAAAATATATAGCATTCCGAATTACAATAATAAAAACAGGTTCCTAAAATCTGACAAGTAGTCAATATTTCCCCTACAAAATGCCATATAGAAACAGATTCTTGGAAGTAAAAGTATATAAAATAAATGTTGAGTATGAATATGAACACAATAAGTAATAATGAATTTAAGAAGCAATTCGAATGTTAATTATTATAAAATAAATTTAATTGATCAAAATAAAAAACCAATTGGTGCACGCTCTGTCACAATAATCTCAAAATTCTAATAAATCATCAATAAAGTCAATACAAATAATAATTCAAATTAGAACCAATAATCTTTTATTTAGTTCAATATTCAAGTTTTCAGATGATTATTTACTTGTTAAGCTAAATGGTACTGCCAAAACAAATGACTTCCAATGCTTTTAGACTATTAGAAGCCGGATGCTTTGCTTTGCTTCATATTAGATATGTCTTGGCAGGCGCGTAGCCAGGGGGGGATTTGGGTGAAAATCCCCTAACGTAAACAGAAATTTATTTATTTTTTTCTAGGGTTTTTGAAAAAATCACAAAAATACCCCCCCCCCCCCCCTTTAACTTTTTCCATACAAAAAAAATTGTTTGCTGCCCCTCTTCAAATTCTTGGCTAAGTCCCTGTGTCTTGGAAATATTTTAGTCAAATTAAGCATTGACATGGAGGTAAACTTCGATGAGTTTTCGTTTATTACATCTCTTTACTTACTATAAGTAAGATCAGAGTAAAGTCTAGTAGCTTGGTCAATATAACAACACTAGAGTCAAAAATCATTGGTCATTTGATTAAACTGGATTGATCGAATCGTAAATTGTTGCTCTATCGGAGGACCTACGTTTAATTCCTACCAACAGCGCCATGCTGACAGAATGAAACTACATAGAAATTCCTAGCTATAGCATAAAGCGTTGTTAAATTCTTACTATAATCGCATATTGCATACGGCATTAAACATACCAATTTCAGCTGTACAACACAGACACCATCTGTCGGAATCCGAGCGTAAATTATCGATTTTTCCTTAACGAGCACATTTCTCATTCCCGACTCGATATTCCAATTTCCACGCATGTCTTCGGGAAAATATTCCATGAACATTTCGCATTTCTACCAACCGATACAACATTTTCCTGTCTCTCAATTTCAGTCGGTCTGTGTAATGCGGATAGTCTAGAAGAAAAAAAAATAATATGAAGTTTGCTTACACAATTTGTTTTTCGTCTGGAAGCTCAAGTTTTTTTTGTAAGTGAAGGAGCTATTAAGAAGAAGTAAAGTGAACTGTATAAAAAAATTGACTCACAAAAAAATAATACATTTTCTCTTTAAATCTTTAATGAATCAATTGAAATATTTTATGTGATATTAATCAAGTTGAAATACCAAATATTATCGTTTCTGTTAAAGTGATAAAATATTAAAGGCAATACTGTGTATATGTGAGAAAAAAATGACAAGTATCCGTGTGAAGAATGACTTTCTTTATGACAAACGCTTCTTAAAAAATCGAATATGGAAAAAATATTCCTATAGAACATTTATACACTCATTTTAGTAACGTAAAAAAAAAGTGATTATGAAAAAAGTGAAGGTGTAAGGAACGAATTACAGAAAGGCCATAAGGAAATTTTTGTCTGTGTGTGCATGACGTGATGAGAGAAATAATTAAGGTTATCTTAAAAAAAATAAAAGAATTTTATACAAAAAAATAATAAGATGAGATTTTTGTGTCTGCGATCATCACAATAGACACGCTATCTCTTGCATTCGGTGTTTTATGATACGCAAAGCCTGTGAGAAATATTTCTTTAGTGCGATAAAAAGCAAGAAATTAAAATGTTATTAAGATTACCCCAGGAAGGATATTGCGGGTAGCTTACACGTGTAACTAGTTTGTGTGCTTAGTGAATATTAAATTTAATATAAAGGACATCCACATGACCATGAATTGTAATAAAAAATCAATCCTGTTGCACACGTAAGCGTGGCTGAAACGACCAGAATGTGATGACATTTTAACTTACAAGTGCAACAAATTATTCAAAAAAAAAATAAATATTTTCAAGCTAAAAAGATAACATTCGATAGGCGTTAATGTAATAATCAATAACAATTTTGGCTCTTTTTTCACGTGAATGAAAAATTTATAGAACTGAAAAAAGTCCGAAACCATTTATCATCATTCGTATAAAAAAAATTCTTGTCGAGTTCATATCCAATAAAAGTAAAGAATATAAAAGAATATATCAGTCGTCCCCCCTACCACAGCCATCATTTAACGTCATATCATCAACCGCATCAATACATTAAAAACATTTTTCGCCACTTTCGTATCAGATTACGGCATTTACTTTTATTCTTTGACTATATGTCGCACTCAACCTCCTTCTTTACCATATATGACTTTTTTTGTTGAAAACTAAGCTGTGTATATGTGTCCGTAAAGGGGAGCTTAGTGAGTTTACATAAAAGAAAATAAAGTAAATATAGCCGCATATGAGCATCATCCATTCATCATTTGAGACAATATGTCGAAATTTTTGCTGCCACCATCAGGCTCATCACGATCACGCATCGCATTCGTTCAGGTAGAATCAGATGAATCAAATGCAATTAGCGTTGAAAACCTGAAGTAAGTTCAAAATTATTTAAAGCATTTAGTAGTTGTAGTTCATTGATATTTATGTCTGCAAAATTTATATGTCATCACTAAATTTTATCGCAATTATTGTGGGTATTTGGATGTTGCGGAACATAATGAATTAGTATTTTTAAACCAATCATGCAGTGGAGTAGCAAGGGCTTTGCAGTCTTGGTTTTAATCAAATTTTTATTCATCTAAATTGATGAATTTCTTGGTCCTAGTAGCTATTTAGACACTAGTGACCACTCAATTTATTGGCGTTACGTAACATCCAAACGACCCTCGTCATAACAAAATTATTCGGGAGATAAGGCAAGAAATTGAACAACATTATATTGATTTTCCTTCTTATGCTTTAATTCCATTACATACATACATGCTACATACTTTCGTAATATGCTCACAGTCATCTAGACTTCATGTCATATGTCAAGGAACTATTGGCATGATTGAAAATGGACAAAAAATAACAAATCGTAAACTTTTGTGGTTTCTATTTACTCTCTATTTTAACTTTTCATTGGTTAAGATACACAAAAAGTTTGTGAGTATCATAAAAATTGGACTTCTTTAAAGATAATGTTGACTCAATCATGAGCTTCTTTTTGTAAAAAGAATAACAATTACGGTTTATGTAAGATTCTGATAATAGCTTTATATATCCAAAAATGTCGGAAAACTAATTGAAAATTAGCTTATTATTAAGCTCAATAATTGTTAAAAAAAGCTAGAACAACTTGAACATTATAATGAAAAACCTCCAGTAAATATGATTTTATTCCAAAAATTTATCTTTTTCAATCAAAAAATCAAGTGAGAAAATGTTTATAAAACTTTATCAAACTTTAATCAAAACTGTAGATTTTTTCAATAAAAAGAGAATGACTACAATTTCATGATTTGTCTAACATCTCATCAAGTTTAAAACAATATCTTGTTTTTTAAAAAAACAATAATTAAATTTTTTCAACATTCGAAACTGAGGCATAATGAAATTTTCAATGGGGCATCATCAAAATAACTGAATAAACTCAACTATGTCATTGCATTGTTCTGCTTTACTTTGCATTGCATTGTAATTTAATTTTTCACTAACGAGAAAAATATTTAATTAACTTCCTCCTACCTACTTGATGATTTGATTATGACTAGAAATATAACATTAATTAAAGATGATAGAATTATAAAAATGAAAATAACAAAGTCGAATGAGAATTCACAAATTACTTTATGAATTTAAATTAATTTGAGGACGTTGTAATTCAGTGATGTCCACTTTATAGACGAATATCCTCGGTTTGGATTCCAGCTAGCGTAGAAAAACTAAGTGCACTTCTATAGCATGAAAGAATCTAAATTCTAAAAACTGTAATTAACCCGAATAGCTCAAATCGGTTAATCGAATAGAGTCTGGCACCAAACTGGCGTAACTCTGGCATAGTGCTGGATTTGATTTGAGTCCAGCACCATGTCAGATACACGCTAGTTTGGTGCTTGATTTCTATTCGATTAACTGACTTGTGCTATTTAGGAAACGATTTAACTGTAAAGAGTTAAATGCAAATCAGTAGCAACAGGGTTCTGAAACTGATGGTGCGCTCGACTAGTTCTACAATTTGACATACTTAAGTTCCCTGACTTCTTATTTTGCTACTGATGCTCCTGAAAAATCTGAAAAAAAATTTTTTATTCTTTAGCTTAAAATTATAGACATCAATTAAGAACGTCCGATCCAAGTCCCATCAAAAAAATTTAACTTTTTCATACACAA